AACTAATTTAAGTTATCGGTTTCTTGTATCTCACGCAAGATGTTCCACCTGACTTAAAAATATCTGGAAAAAAATGTTCTTATAATTTTATTAATACATTTCGCTTGTCTTTCATGTTCTTTAAATCATGTTCTTTAAATAATTTAAAAAGCTATCATTATACTTAAATACACATTACTTATATTATCCTACAAATATTTTAAAAAGCTATCATATCGGTTATCATTTTATCTTACGCAATTATGTTCCATCCAATCCAATCGATTAACTGAAGAAAAAAATGTTTTTACCTGACTTCTTCTTTGTCAAAAATGTCAATTCAACTTTCTTTATGTTATTCTTCATCTGCAGCAAAAATTTGGATTATTAAAATATACTTAGACTATAATATATATTCAGTCAGTTTCTTACTTTAAGAGTGTCTTAATATACATCCCAAGATATTAAAACTTGTCTTCATGACATCTTAATGCTATACTTAAGATGATAAGATCTTAAATATATAAGATTCAATATGAATACCGCTCTTAGTATTTAGTTTTTGTTTTTTGTGTAAATTCATTTTGGTTCCTCAAAATTAATTAGTGCCTTTTAATTAACATAAATTATAAATAGATTTTATAGACCAACATCACTGTGTTATAAATTTTGGTGTCCAGAGGATTAAATATAAGAACAAAAAGCAATTTCATTGCGTTATTTAAGGGCGTTATAATTTTATTAATTTCATCAATACATTTTTCTCGGCTTTATCATGTTTCTTGAATAATTTAAATTATAATTATTGGTTTTATCCAAAACGTTCCACCTAACTTAAAATTAACTGAAGAAAAAAGTTCTTAATCTTAAATTGCATCATTTTAAACTTATTTTAATTACCAGAAGCGTGAAAAAAGAGAATCAGAAAATTATTTATAATCAAATCAATCAATCAATCAATTATCAATACTTTCACGCTGAGGATAGCTTCCATTATTCATAGTTTAGCTTTCAATTGACTCTTGGATGATAGTATTCTGACTATGTTCGCTATGCACATAACGAAATGTAGAACTTCGCGATCGTCATGATGCAAAGTAGGTCAAGTTGATATCCGGTTTCGCGAAACCGGAATGCCCGACTGCGCGTCAGATCTTTCTCTACAAGCGATTCTCGAACGGAATGCATTTCATAAAGCGATAGCGCATTAGATGCATTATGAAATATCCATCACAGTCGAAAAGAAAGAAAAAAGTACTCACAACAACGTATTTCCTCAAAAAATAGAAGTTTCTCTTTTAAATCTTACGAGATATGTAACGTTTTCTGCTCGTATAGAGAAAATAAATTTATACCGTTTTCTACAGATATGTAGATTAACGTTCATCTCAGTCAACTTATTCTTCATTTTTCTCTAATTCTTAAAAATGCAAAAAGAAAAAGAAGAGAAAAAGATAAAAAGAAGAGAAATTAAATGGAGAATCTTGTTATAATATAAAAATATAGACGAAAAGATAAAAATGCTGAAAATAATTATATCACTATTTAATTATTACAATCTCTCGAATAGTAATAAGTAATGTTTTTTCATAATTCTATCCCGTTATTTCTTTTACCTACAAACATTTTCTGCTCAGATATTAATGCCGTTTCCATTAATATAGATTAACTTTAATCTCAATTCAAATTATTCTTCATTTTTTTAAATTCTTATATAGAACTAAAAAAAGACGAAAAGTAAGTTGAACCGAAATTAAAGTTAATTTAAATTAGTAGAAATGAGCATAAAAGTAAGACAAATAAATAAAGAATAATCTTATAATATAATAATACATAATAAAAACGGTAGATTAAAATGACGAGAATAATTATACTGTTATTTTATTTCTACCTCTCGCGAACAGTAATAATGTTCCTTTTATAATTCTATCCTGTTATTTTTTTGGGGAATAATGTATCGTCATTACATAAGGAAACTCAACGGAAGATTCTTCGAAGACAAAGAGAGAAATAAATTATAAAAGATATACGTTGCGGATGTGTTGCGTACGTTACGCCGAAGACGAACATGTCTCGTACCGGTTCCCATAAGCTCGTTGATAAATGCGCGTTTGCAAATGGGAAAACACAAGGATTATTTCCGAGATATGCGTACGTTATTAGTCAACATGCGCTAACGCCAGGCGAGAGAGTATCGGGATAAACGAGAAAGGAAAATGTCTGGACCGGTCGATCTCGATAGAGAGAAAAAGAGGGGAAGAGAGAAGCGAGTGGGAGGTACTTTCCATGAAATTCCTTTGGGCGCCTCGACAGATTTCATCATCGCCGTCTCGTCTCTGCTCAAATCGAAATCGAAAACACTTTATTATCATTCGCAAATGCCGTATCTTTTAACGATTTATTTGTGGCGGAAAAGCCCTCGACTTAGCACAAAAAATGGATGAAACCAATAAGTTTAAGAAAAATCTATTTGATAAAAATAACGTAAGTTTCCTAAAATCGAAATCGTCATTCGATAGAAAAGATTTATTAACATACATCTTATTCTTCGTTTTGTTTTTTTATCAATTTAATATCAATAAGCAAATCATTAATAGATAATGTATGATGGCTGTAAACTTGTAATTTGTTTTATAAATATATTCCCTTAAACTGAAATCATTCGATCGAAAATAATTTTCTGCCTTATATCATATTCTCTAATTTGTTTAGTGAATTTTGGCATACAAACTGTTAAAAATTTATAGAGCATGAGTGTTGATGAAATTTATAGAGCAAACTAATGAACTATTCTATCGTATAAACGATTTTTAACAATAATATAATACCATTGTCTTCACGTCTACATTAATATTTATGCGAACGATAAAAACTCCGATTCTTTCCTGCCCTTAAATTGCCATTGAATGAGTTAGTCGTGTCCGATTCTAGATATGCCAAAAGATATTTTGTTAGGATTTCGCTTCGACATATCGCATTCGCGAAAGCTTTACAAACAAATAGAATCCTATACGAAAGAACACAATTTACACGCAATCACGCTATTATCAATCATAAAACGAATTAACAATCATATATCATCGTATAATCATCGTATTAATTTGTTTCCAATTTACAACATTTAATTAACTGAAACATTAATTAGCCCATTTTATATCAAAATTAAACATAAAAATAATATCAAAATCATATTTCAATAGATGTTTAAGTAATATTTGAATTTAAAATCGAATTATTCAGATATTTATGCTAATTATGTTCAAAAAATTAATTTGTATAATCAACATCAGATTGATGATTTCAGTGGTCCTATAATTACTAGATACCTATTTCGGAACTACATTAATTATTACAAAATTTTTCAACTCTTAAGTATCTCGTCGTATATTATTCTTTTAACTAAGCAAAAAATAAAAAATGAAAGGCAACATCACACGGTGTTCCCAAGCGGTCACCCATCCAAGTACTAACCGTGCTCAACGTTGCTTGACTTCAGTGATCAGACGAGAACTGGTAGTTTCAACGTGATTTGGACGTTGTCCGACTAATACATTTTTTACGAATGGTTTTCTTCCACTTGTGACTTGTGACATTTGTTCATGTTGTATGCTTCAAATTCAGAGAAAATTTTATAATTAGCCCAGTACTGGCTGACAGAACATTGGCTGTTATTTGATAGCCAGTGAAACTTCAACAGTGATTGACAGAACATTGGCCGTCAATTGATAGTCATAAAATTGGCTCAATATTAGTTTGTTTATAATTGTTGGCGTCTCCTGTATGGGAATAAAAAAAAATATTCTTATATCAGTTACATTTATTTCGTTTCTTTAGAACAAAATGTATGTTTTTTATGATTGACAAAAAATAATAAAATTGAGAGACAACATCACACGGTGTTCCCAAGCGGTCACCCATCCAAGTACTAACCGTGCTCAACGTTGCTTGACTTCAGTGATCAGACGAGAACTGGTAGTTTCAACGTGATTTGGACGTTGTCCGATTATTACATTTCTTAAGAATGGTTTTCTTACTCTTGTGACTTGTGAGATCTGTTCATGTTACATGCTTCAAATTCAGAGAAAATTTTATATTTAGCCCAGTACTGGCTGATAAAACATTGGCTATTATTTGATAGCCACTGAAACTTGAATAGGGATTGATAGAACCTTGGCCGTCAATTGACAGTTATAAAATTCGCTAACGATTAGTTTGTTTATAATTGTTGGAGTCTCCTGTATGGGAATAAAAAAAATATTCTTATATCAGTACATTCATTTCGTTTTTTTAGAACAAAATGTTTGTTAATTTGATATTGATGATTGACAAAAAATAAAAAAATTGAGAGGCAACATCACACGGTGTTCCCAAGCGGTCTCCCATCCAAGTACTAACCGTGCTCAACGTTGCTTGACTTCAGTGATCAGACGAGAACTGGTAGTTTCAACGTGATTTGGACGTTAACCAATTACTAAACTTATCAAAGAATAGTTTTGAATAACTTTGTCATTTGTGAGATTTGTTCATGTCGCATGTTCCAACATGCCCAATATGCTACAACTCCCCACTCTAATATCTCATAATCACGAGTCTATTACTTTACTTCTAAACATGTATGAATGAGCACGAAAGGTGAATGGGCTTGTATTGAAATATTCTATTAAGATTATTGATTTTTATTTTTATATACATTACAAGCATTACAAAAATACAAATAAAAATATAAAAGAGGAATGAATAAAAATAATAATAATAAAAGTAATAATAATTTACGTTAATAATAATAGTAACAAAAGTTAAAAAAATATGTTTATATCTATTATATTCATTTCGTTCTTTTAGAACAAAATGTTCGTTAATTTGTTTTTTATGATCGACAAAAAATAAAAAAATTGGGAGACAACATCACACGGTGTTCTCAAGCGGTCACCCATACAAGTACTACTATCCGTACTCAAAGTTGCTTGACTTCAGTGATCAGAAGACAACTGGCAGTTTCAATGTGACAACTTGGACGTTTACCGATTTCCGATTACTTATTTTTTAATAATGATTTTCTTTGATTTTATGGTTTGTTCATATCGCATGTTTCAATACGTTCAAATCCATAGGTTTTTCAATTATCCCTATCGTGCTCCTATCATAATTCTTACTCACACTAACAAGAGATTGAAATCAAAAAGGAGCTATAGTAGAAGCATATTTATAATTATAATCAAATCAACACTTTAGCCTATACTGTGACTGTCAACTGACGGCCAAGGTTCTATCAATCAGTACTGAAGTTTCACTGGCTATCAAGTAACAGCCAATGTTGAGCACGGTTAGTACTTGGATGGGTGACCGCTTGGGAACACCGTGTGATGTTGTCTCTCAATTTTTTTATTTTTTGTCAATCATAAAAAATTAACAAACATTTTGTTCTAAAAAAATGAAATGAATGTAACAGATACAAGAATATTTTTTGTATTCACATACAGGAGACGTCAACAATTATAAACAAACCAATATTTAGCGAATTTTATGACTGCCAATTGACGGCCAAAGTTCTGTCAATCACTATTGAAGTTTCACTGGCTATCAAATAACAGCCAATGTTCTGTCAGTCAGTACTGGGCTAATTATAAAATTTTGTCTGAATTTGAAGCATGCAACATGAACAGATCTCACAAGTCACAAGAGTAAGAAAACCATTCTTAAAAAATGTAATAATCGGACAACGTCCAAATCACGTTGAAACTACCAGTTCTCGTCTGATCACTGAAGTCAAGCAACGTTGAGCACGGTTAGTACTTGGATGGGTGACCGCTTGGGAACACCGTGTGATGTTGTCTATCAATTTTTTTATTTTTTGTCAATCATAAAAAACATACATTTTGTTCTAAAAAAACGAAATGAATGTAACAGATACAAGAATATTTTTTTATTCCTATACAGGAGACGTCAACAATTATAAACAATCCAATATTTAGCGAATTTTATGCCTGTCAATTGATGGCCAAGGTTCTGTCAATCACTGTTGAAGTTTCACTGGCTATCAAATAACAGCCAATGTTCTGTCAGCCAGTACTGGACTAATTATAAAATTTTCTCTGCATTTGAAGCATGCAACGTGAACAAACCTCACAAGTCACAAAAAAAAGAAAACCATTCTTAAAAAAATATTTAATAATCGGACAACGTCCAAATCACGTTGAAACTACCAGTTCTCGTCTGATCACTGAAGTCAAGCAACGTTGAGCACGGTTAGTACTTGGATGGGTGACCGCTTGGGAACACCATGTGATGTTGTCTCTCAATTTTATTATTTTTTGTCAATCATAAAAAACATACATTTTGTTCTAAAGAAACGAAATAAATGTAACTGATATAAGAATATTTTTTTTTATTCCCATACAGGAGACGCCAACAATTATAAACAAACTAATATTGAGCCAATTTTATGACTATCAATTGACGGCCAATGTTCTGTCAATCACTGTTGAAGTTTCACTGGCTATCAAATAACAGCCAATGTTCTGTCAGTCAGTACTGGGCTAATTATAAAATTTTCTCTGAATTTGAAGCATGCAACGTGAACAAACCTCACAAAAGAATGAAAACCATTCATAAAAATACTAATAATCCGACAACGTCCAAATCACGTTGAAACTACCAGTTCTCGTCTGATCACTGAAGTCAAGCAACGTTGAGCACGGTTAGTACTTGGATGGGTGACCGCTTGGGAACACCGTGTGATGTTGTCTCTCAATTTTTTTATTTTTTGTCAATCATAAGAAATTAATAAATATTTTGTTCTGAAAAAACGAAATGAATGTAACAGATACAAGAATATTTTTTTATTCCCATACAGGAGACGTCAACAATTATAAACAAACCAATATTTAGCGAATTTTATGACTGTCAATTGATGGCCAAAGTTCTGTCAATCACTGTTGAAGTTTCACTGGCTATCAAATAACAGCCAATGTTCTGTCAGCCAGTACTGGGCTAATTATAAAATTTTCTCTGCATTTGAAGCATGTAACATGAACAGATCTCACAAGTCACAAGAGTATGAAAACCATTCTTAAGAAATGTAATAATCGGACAACGTCCAAATCACGTTGAAACTACCAGTTCTCGTCTGATCACTGAAGTCAAGCAACGTTGAGCACGGTTAGTACTTGGATGGGTGACCGCTTGGGAACACCGTGTGATGTTGTCTCTCAATTTTTTTATTTTTTGTCAATCATAAAAAACAAATTAACAAATATTTTGTTCTAAAAAAAGGAAATGAATGTAACAGTTATAAACATATATTTTTTGACTTTTGTTACTGTTGTTATTAACGTAAATTATTAACGTGAATTATTAATACTTTTATTAATATTTTTATTCGTTCCACTTTTATATTTTTATTTGTATTTTTATAATTCTTGTAACGTATATAAAAATAAAAATCAATTTTCTTAATGGAATATTTCAATACAATCTCATTCACCTTTCGTGCGCATTCAAACGATATGTTTTGAAAATGGAAGTAAAGAAATAAACTCGTGTTCACAGAGAAAGCAAAGTTTATAAAAATGAATCCGAATTGAAAACGACACAAACTATACCTTACTGATAGCAACAGCCGGTTATTGGCTACACGCCATTTGCTGTGATGTTTTTACATTTAATCGATCTCGTTTGGCCAGCTGTGAAGCATGCGGCTATTCTAAATGCTGACTTCTTTGGCGAGTCGCCATCGTCTGCGATACTTTTACATGAATTAATCACGCTGCTTGTTTCTCGACAAAATGCATGCGATTAAAATACTTTCTACTTGTAATTGGAAATCTTAAAAATGCCATATATTTCGCTCATATTGTAATTTGCATACAATGTAATAATTAATAATACATTGACAAAAATGTTTGATTGAAATGTATAGTTGAATGGACGAAGCAGAAAATTCTAATTCTCGTTCATTTCTGATTCTCGGATCAAAGCGGATGATCACAATTTGCATCACTGTACAATATGCACAGCATACTTAAATTCTGAATTTAATGAATATTTAACAAAAAAAAGAACGTTTTCCTTTTGATATATACAAAATACTTAAGTAAAATAATCACGTTAAAAACAGTATTATTAAAAAAAAACATCAATGTCATCGAAATACGCGATATGCAGTATCGCTCTTGCAAATTCGTCAAGTCACGTCGAAATTATGAAGCATATGCACGTACATGTAAGCGGAATCTGCATAGAATTGTAGATTTAGACAATGCGTGAAAAGATGCAGAATATAATAATCTACATGCTATAGGAATATTCAATGCAAATTTAATAAAGTCTAGTAAAAGCCTCTTCTAAAATGCAGAGATAGAAAGATCTTTGAAATCTGAGATAGAAAGATCTCTGAAATCTAAATAAGGTTGAAGAATTATTAATCTCCTATGTTTTATTATAGAAAATACTGTTTCGCAAAAAAGATCTTTTGACTTCTTTTATCTTAATTATCCTAAAATATATCAACTTAAAAAAACCTAAAATATTACGTTTTTTTTAAATATTTTTAATACATCTGTATTGGATGTATATTAGAAGCTTCTGATGATAGTCTTCTCGACAGCAAATGCTTCTTAGAGAAAATATAAATAGACAGTACGTATCAGAAATGGAACAATTCCATCAGAATATTTAAGCTGAAAGTACTTTCCAATTGAGTTAGAGGAAGAAAAAACAGATTAGAAGATGAAATGCTTCATATTATACGATCGAGGACATATAACAATCATAAAGATTTACCAATTATCTACAATTATCCACAATTATATTATAGCGAATTATCTACAATTAGACTTTTTAGTTCTAGATCCAATACGAGATAAACATCTCACCTACTTCCTGAGAAAGTGCTTTCGCATCTATATTCCGCATTCGCATACCTATAATGATGATGTTGTGACCGAGATCCTCTCATGGATAGGAAATCGTTTTAGAGACTAAATCGATAGCTTATTTCATGGTTTAAACATTTGACAATGCAATGCGATGAGAAACAAGAAAGAGAATCGCAAGTAGAAAACAGCTTTTCACTGTCTTGGTAAATAGCAAATATTAAAAATGTCTTGATCCTCAGTGGCAGTCAAGAATTCCAGTCAGGTATTATGTGAACTCATGTACTATAACTGCTTTTCGAAAGTATGCTGGGAAAACGTCGGTTGGTCCTTTAAAGGTCGATTGGGATGCAGCGCGCGAGTTCCGCGAAAGTGCAGTCAAGGTTCTCCGTTTCCCGCAAATATACTGGTATATGTATCTCTGTTAAAATGTGTGCACCAACGACCTCGGCTCAAAGAGACATGCGATCGAGATCGAGAACCGTTCCAAAGCGGCGCTGGCAATCTGCGGGAGTTCCTTCCATCGAAGATAGAAAGGAAAATAGCACGTCACGGATCGAGATGCAAAGTGCATCAGGTCGTTTCG